AGAGAGAGGAGGGGAGGGAGGAGGGAGAGAGAGAGAGGAGAGGAGAGAGAGAGAGAGGGAAGAGAGAGAGAAAGAGAGAGGAGAGAGAGAGAGAGAGAGAGAGAGAGAGAGAGAGAGAGAGAGAGAGAGAGAGAGGGCTACCGTCAAAGGTCAGAGTAGGACAGGCCGGGATGAGAGCTACCAGAGGGTGGTTCGGGGACGGCTACTGGTTTAGTGACTGAGTGAAGGTAATCAGATGGTGGGCAGAGACGGTCACGGTGACCAGTGAACGGGACTTGAAGGGAAAGGGTGCGGTCTAGGGAGAGACGGTTCGTCGGTGGGAGAACCAGTGCAACACATGAGATCAGAGGGGAGATTGCTTCTAAAGAGCTGCATTGGGTCATTAGAGCACCAGGGAAGGATTTCGGGATGCACCGTGCACGACCGTTGATCATGTGTCCTGTACGTGCTCCATTGAACCCTCGCCCGTATAGGGGGGGGGGGTCGAACGGACCCCCCCCCCATGGTTTTTCGCAATTAACTCGCGTAAAAAGCGGCCGATCGCGACGAAACTTTCAGTACCCTCGCGTTCATCAATTTTACACCTACCCTGAAAATTTCATGACCCTGACCCAAATGACCTTTGACCTGTGACCTACTTTTCGAGACCATGTTTGGCCGGAATCGCGATTCGGCGTATGTCGGCTCGCATTAGCCGCGCGTTTGCAGTCTTTTCGTGGTTTCAAGCGTTCAAACATGTGATATGATGTTGCCCCCATGCATTAGGGTGGGTGTCAAGGTCACCTGAAGGTCAGGTCAGGTCACTGACCTTTGATGACCTCGGTTCACTTTTTCGAGTTTTACATGTTTCTAGACCAGTTTTTGGAGCTGAATTCGAATTTAGCAACCGTATGAACATTTACAAAGTAGTTTTAGTGCCTTTGTAACATGTTACGAAGCTGTTAGAGGCAGTTGCCACCTACTACGAATACCCTTACTGGTTGACCTGACCTGACCCGACCTGGCCTAAATGCATGAAGACATCATCTGTGATCAAAACTAACATGATATTCGTGATCAGCACCCCGAAAAACCCCATAGCAGCCACACTTTACGACGTTCTAACAGGTCCCGATTTTCCCGACTTTTGGGTCATTGACCTGACCTGGAAGGTCAACCAATGACCTATGACCTTAAAATTGGCTATCATCGGCTTCCTCTCGTCACGGGCAACACGCTCGTTTTTTCCGCGAAGCTCTAGCCCGATCAGGGGCGAAACGGCAAGGGGGGGTCCAACGGACCCCCCCTTATACGTTCGCGGCTGGAAAAACACCAATACGGGCGAGGGTTAAGCATTATTCCGCATTTATTGCTCTTGAAACTTTTCCCAGAGCTGTTGCTAGGTTCGATTCTTGAAAGGCTAACGGCCCAATTATATTTAGGCCATAAAAACCGGAGAAATAATTATTTCTCCGGTTTTTGCATCATTCATAAAGTGGGCACATTAAAACGCGGTCAGATGGGCGGTGTAATAACGTGCACAAATTAAGATGAGACACGTTATAATTGAGCCGAAAGCTCAATATAATCTGGATGAGTCTTGACACCCGTGAGTCTCCGGTCTCACCTGGAGCAGCAGGACGCGGCTGCAGCGCTCCAGCAGCGGCCCGGACAGCAGGAACGCCAGCGACATGGCGGCCGTCACGTACACGGAGCTGTAGAACGGGTTCACGTCCTGGCCGGTCAGCTGGAACACGGTCGGCGCGAACTGCGCCACGCCCAGGCCGCCCGAGAACACCATACAGAAGAACTGCACCAGCAGCAGCAGCGTCGGGTGCAGGTTCTCCCAGCGACCGAACACCAGCCCCAGGCCGCGCAGAACCCCGGAGGACGGCTGGTGCGCGTGCGCCAGCGAGCCCTCGATGTCGCGCACGCCCTGCTTGATGTCGAACTCTGGTCCGTGGAAGAAGCGGAGCGACTCCTCAGCTTCCTCTCGTGAATGGCCGTGCGCCAGCAGCCACTTGGGCGAGCGGGGCAGGAACAGTAGACCGCACGCCTGTACCACGGCTGCAGTAGTCTCCAGCGCAAACTCGATGGTGCGCCAGGGGAGCCGTGATCCCAGTCCCAGCACCACCACGATACAGACAGGTGTCACCGTGTTGAGGATGTTACCGATCAGTCCGCGCACCTCCCGGCCAGTCACCTCTCCGACATAGGCACGCGCCGGGCCCTCCACCACGCCAAAATAGAGTCCGACGAGCAGGCGGCCGGCCAGCGTCCAGGCGAACGTCGGTCCCAGTCCGACCATGGCAGCGCCTGTGAGGGCCAGCGGCAGCGCGGCCAGAAGAAGTCGAGGAGCGCCCACGCGCGGGGAGAGCCAGATGGATGCCAGCGTGCCCGGGATGTTGCCAAAGGTGAAGGAGGAGACGATCCAGGTGATCTGTGTGACGGAGAGCCTGCTGGCGTTGCTGCCGGCGGCGGGGGGCTCATCGTGCGCCAGGGCTGACGTCTCCTGGGCGAACAGGACGCTGCCGGAGCCGACGGCGCCGCCCAGGATGACGAACGTCTGCGCACAGATGAGGGCCGCAGCCAGCTGTCGGACAGAGATGGGATCGTGTCAGATGAGGGCCGCAGCCAGCTGTCGAACAGAGATGGGATAGTGTCAGATGAGGGCCGCAGCCAGCTGTCGGACAGAAAGAAAAGTATGTCACCTGAGTGCAGCAGCCAGTTGTCCGATAGAAACTACCTAACTTAATCCGACTACAAACTGTCAGATGGGACGTACCTCACGTACCGGCTATACCTACATGCCCCTGCAGATGAACATGTGGATTGTGGGCACATCAAAGACGTTGTCCATAACTGAGTTAACCGATTGGATTGAAAATTCATAGGATCACTCACAGACTTCTCTATGAAAAGTCTGTGTACAATTATGACAGGACAGACAGCAGCAGCGGTTATTGCCCACTCTCAGCGGTTATTTGCGGTGATTTATCAGCTAGTTAATCTTGCTAATACTTGCTAGTTAATCGGTCACGATTGCATGATTGATGGATTTCGGCAACGGGATGAGCTCAGGAGAAGGTTCGCTGCCTAAGCTGACGCGCTGGATTATTGTGTGATTATAACGTTACGAGACGGTAAAACGATCGTACCGAAACGGTGACTCTAAATTTTTGTCTATTATATTCTTAACGCTTTTGATCTAGGTATTTGGCCCTCCGGTAACGAGATAACGTCATATCGCTCACAAAAACCTTGAGATTAATGTCCTAGCATACCATAAAGGCATCTCTCCTCCGGCTAAGGACATTGTAAATCACATGTGATTAACCGCGCTCCAGTGCGGTAGTGCCACTGGGCGTGGCCTTCTGTCCGAGATGCCTTCTTCCTCCGGAGTTCCCCGCTGTGGTATCTGTGTCAGTGTAAACTGAGCTTGCCACCCTCCCCTCCCCCCAGGCACATACACAGAGAGGCCTCCATCCGACGCGGCCTTGCCGCCGCCGTATAAGACCGGACGTTATCCCATCAGAGCTCCAGTGCGACGGCCACTTTTCCTATTCCGTTGTGACGCCCGTTTTTATTGCAATTTGTCATCGATGACCGTCAAGGGGCCCGCCGACCACACCCCGCCGGAGGTCAGGAGTCACGGCGAGCCGGCGAGGTCGCGGCTCCGCGCCGCGGAAGTGTCGCAGAGGTCGCAGCTGGAGACGGACGCGCCGGTCCGGTCCCTAGACGCGGCCATCCATAACGGGAGAGGTGTGTCGGGTGGTCGTGCTCCGGTTCTGTCGCCCGTACAGACGCCAGACGGGACGGGAGTGGCCACAGACAAGGACACAGAGGATAAGAATAAAGAAGTAGGTACTGAGAAAGACGCCGGGCGGTGTCGCTACATGGAGGAGTGGAGCAAGACATCGGGCTCGTGTCCGTAACAGCTTGTGTGCCGATTATAAGACCACTCTTATGCTTGATCTTCTTGACATTTCAGATGTCTTGTGATTATACTTCAAGAGATGAAGGTGAACAGGCTTCATACGAGACCATAACGAGGAAATTAGGTACAGGAACAAGGTTCATAGGTAAAGGAGCGTTTTTCTTTTTTAGACGCCTCTACGATGAACTCACAACTCAATTATGTTTCACCGAAGTCCGAAGCTCTGACTGGTTCCCTTTCACACACCGCCAGTGATCACCCTTTCCAGAGGCTCTGTCAAGTTTTTATCGAGTGATCACCTGTCCCGCTCATTAGTGGCCGTGTGATGGACCAGGTGACCCATTTATGTCACATTTCACTCGCACGAGCGCACGCGACGATGTGTTGGAGCGCCCGCCGTTCGGCGAACGGGTCATGCCGTCTTCCGTCGGCCCAGTGAATGATGGAGCAACTGCGCAATATGATAGGCCGAACCTGAAGCCACGTCGGGCGGCCTATGTGGCAGGTGGAATACCTAGACGGACGGTATGGCCCAGCCATCGTTACAATGACCGTGACGTGCCGATGCGCCCGATACGAAACGGGAGCACATCAGATGTGTGTGACAGCATGTCGACAGGGAAAGGTCAGCGTGGTATGGTCACAAAAAGTGGGACATGGATGCCGTGTTTTATGAGCACACGGGATGGGAGTGATGAGTCGTGAAGTCGCTTCCCGAGGAGAATGTCTGGGCTAAGGTAAGAAGTTGTCTCGTCTTATATTTAATAGCGAAAAGTACTTGATCCAACATAATGTAGATTCTAGGTACTCACTAGTTCAACAACCATAAAGACGAACATGTAGGAAGAACAATAACATTAATTTCGCCCATCGAAAATACCACTAAAAAATCAAAATAATGTAATTTCCAAGTTCCAGCCAGACGACGGGCTTCGTTCAGTCTGAAAAAAAAAATCGTGGACAATGGTTATCGATTCATTGTTGCATTATGTATTACGTCAGCCCGTTATCTTACTCAATCCAGGCACCCCTCAGCGGGCGCGGCGCCGCCCCTCCCCTCCCCTCTCCTCCCCTCCCAGACAGCTGACGGGACCACCGCAGTCTGCCCGGGGGCACCATGCGTCAGCCGGGATCATGACCTTGACATCGGAGCCGCCCGGCCCGCACGCGCGTGGCTCGGCTAACCGCTAATGGAAATCGTGGTCGGATCCAAACGTGTTTCGAGCGTCAATGAAATGAGCTGGGTCACGAGGTAGATAATGAAGTGCGCATGGAAAGGTCAAGTCATCAAAAGATCGATCTTACGGGTTGATGTAGCTTGATCGTTTCAAGTGGACGAAATGTTATTATCTTGCATTGCGATGCGTTAGCGAATTGCATCATTTATCTGATCTCGTACCGTATATCGTACGAACAAAAATAACAGCAATAAAGAGATAATGATAACAATACCTAATGACAATAACAATAATAATCATAATAATAATCCTAATAACTTATTATTATTATTATTATAATTATTATGACCATTACTATAATAATAATAATAGTAAGAAGAAGAAGAAGAAGAAGGGGAAGAAGAAGCAGAGGCCCTGCCTGGCCTTAAATGCGGACTCCCGTCTCTCCCTCTCACTTCTTTGTAGAATGTAGATCCGCCAATGATCCAGCACCGTGATTGACCTTTACGATAAGAACTGAGGCTGAATTTCCGCGCCGGCCCCACCTCTGACTGGGTCATTCACATTGGACCGGCGCATTACATCAGCCTACTGACCGCACCGGTGCCGTGTTCTAGCGCCCCCGTGTGTGGACTGCTGCCTATGGAGCCCGGAGCCACTGGCCATTACGACCGATTACGACACGCGTGTCAGCGTATAGGGGCGCCGGTCCCAGTTTCACAATCGGCTCGGTCCGGCCCGCCAGGCAGTCTGGCCGGCCGGAGTCAGGGGGACCGGGGGACGGGGGCGGGGCGGCGCGGCGCGGTACCTAATGCGACTGGAGTGCTGACCGGGCTGGAACCGATCAAAACGGGGTGGTGCGTAAAGCCCTGCGAAAAGTGGGCGCCGGGAGGCTCATAGAACACTATAAAATTATGAATGCCTATAGCTTCCCAGTACCGTAGGACCTATGTTTGGTGTAACTAGAAATAAGTCTGCTTATTCTAAGGTTGAAGCGATTAAGTCCCGAGTCCGTTTAAAAATTCCGCTTTATATCAATGATGTAACGACTTGACTGCAGCGACTGATGTTTAGAAAGGAAGTTAAATTCATGCATTAGGGGAAGTTGGGGGAACGCCGAAGACTTTTTTTCTGACGCCCGTAGCACGCAAGGTAGACAACATACGCTATTCTTGTTGGCGTCATTCGAGAGGCCAGTCTTTTGCCTTTCAAACATACCAGGCGCATTTGATGAATTCGCATACCGTTAAGCGCACAAACTAAAAATATTAAAGAAGTGACTTTTTCGGCGTTGCCCCGGACTGCGGGGAAAGCCGAAAATGGGAGAAATGATCTACGGGGAATGCCGACATTGATGTTTTGCCATTTTATCTCAAACTTTATCCAGAATTCATCAAAGCTGACACACGTTTCAAGAGCTTGAGGACGCGGTGCACACTGGAAGTTATAATTGTGTGATATAATAAGAAAATGCCAGGTAAATCATTCCTTATAGGTAACAGGCCGTTGTGTCGGTTGAAAGTGTAATTTGTGTGACTAAAAATACGCGTTGCTATTCTACAGCAGTAAAGTCCACGTAGCGTGCTTTTAACACGTGCGTAATCGCACGTTTTCGGCATTACCCCAGCCAGCCATACTTTCATTTGCAGGCCCATAACTTTTCAACGTGCTGTATAAATTTCAAATAGGCAGCACACTTATGCAAAGACATGCTAAAGATTACTTGACCGAATTGGCCAGACAAACGGTAGCATAATGAGTAAAAAATGCAGCTTCAAAGGCGCATGTAGTACAAGGGAAACGTACCTTGAAAACGCTCTTGGCGCCCTCACAGTCGAAGTATTCCGAATGACGACTCGTAACAAACATGCGATAATTGTAGTTACTTAAGCTTCAGAGCATCACTGACAGGTGGCATCCATGTTTTACGGTTTTCGAAATATCTCGAATTTCGGCTTTGCCCCAACTCCGGCATTGCCCCAACTTCCCCTACTCCAATTCGTTTACAACATGAAACATGCCTCATCCGTCTTCCGGCACCCATTAACACTGAACCTTACACTGAGCTGTACAATGACTCGCAAACAATGCACATTATAGCCTTGAAGTAACTTACGAAACATTCAAAGCTTTGCATGCCGCACAAATGGACTGGTGTAAATGAAGCTTAATTGTTACATCTTGTTCACGAAGGGCAGCGTTAATATTCTTATAGCAGTCGGTTCCGAATGATTATAAGGAATAAGTCGGTTAAGCACGTTACTTGCTGTCGTGGCCGTTCTATCGAACATATGTATACCTATTAATCTTTAATCGCATCAGAGACAGACCCACCGCACGCGTGCTTTATGCGTCCGCCCGTATATTCGAGGTTAAATGTGGCAGTGAAGCTCACGCTACAGACGTTACAAGACGTTTGGCAGAGTTGATTTGGCCTTGTAATCAATTAATGCATGTTTTATCCTTGAAATGATGTTG